GGGGGGGGGGGGGCACATGTGGAAGGAGCTGAGACTTTCTGGGGGGTCCTCAGTGCTCACCCTGTGGCCTCCCCCTGCTGCAGTCAGGGATCGTGCAGTTGCTGTGGGAGGAGAGCTCAGCCGTGGTGTACACCTGCAGCCTGGATGGGGCCGTGCGGCTCTGGGACGCCCGCTCGGGGAAGATGATCAGCGAGTACCGAGGGCACTCGGCTGAAATCCTCGACTTCGCTGTCAACAAGTGAGGGGGGAAGCCCTACACCCTTTCCCTGCTGGGTGGAGGGAGCAGGGGCAGCAGGGGCCTCCAGCCTCAGGAACAAAAATCATGAGCTGCCTTTCTTTTGGGTGCCCTGGGGTCTGGTCCCAAGGTGGGGGGACAGACCGTGGGCCAGGTGGAGAGTTGAAGGTCTCAAGGGGGAGCAGGGCAGATCAAAGCTGGGCCAGGGGCATTGGGTGAGGGATACCCAAAGCCCCCAGGCCCATCTCTGAGCCCTGTCTCCCCCCAGGGATGCCTCCATTGTGGTAACGACCTCTGGCGACCACCAAGCCAAAGTCTTCTGTGTCCAGCGCCCTGATCGCTAGGAGTGGTGCTGAGGGACAGTGTCCTGGCTCTGCCCACTGGCTCTTGTACAGAGGGAGAAGGGAGATGGGTTTCACCACCCTTCTCCAGTGCGTGCTTTGTAATTTTCCAGCCTGCCCTGCTTTGCCCTCACCATTTGGGGGCCAAGCCTGGGGTTTTGTATGAAAATGTCTTTTAATTATATAAATTATTTCACTTAACTGGATGCCATCCACTCTGCTTGTTGGGGGGAAGAGGACCTGGGGAGCTGTGCTCCCTCCCTCCTCAGGCATCTCCCCAAAATCCAACCCTGGCCTGAGGATCAATGACAGATGGGTTTATGCTGGTCTGGGTGGAGGCAGCCACCCCGCTCCTATCCTTCCCTGTTAGGGGGAATGAGGGGGTCAGAGTAGGAGGGAAGGGTGCAGATTGCTAACTGAGTGTAGGAGAATCCAGCTCTGTGCAGCCCAGGAATTCCCTAACACAACAGGCTGTTCACTCCCACTTCAGCCCCCAAGACAGAAATCACCACAAGTAATTTGCTCTGGGATTCAGTAATTATCCCCCTTGTGCCTGTGACTCCAACTACCCCTTCCAGGGCAAGGCCACATGCATTGACAAGCCAAAGCCCCACAGCTCCTTAAGATAGAAAGATCTCCTTTATTAATGAACCCCAACAGTATTTCTTCAGATACAGGAGTTTTGAACTCAAATATTCAGAAGAAAACAAGTTAATATTGCATTATTCTCATAAGAAATACTGCAACTTATTTCCGGTAACATATTGCAAAGCGAAACAGCTTGAAAAGAAAAAAAAATTAAAAAAGAAAAGAAATTAAGTCAATCAAACTGGAATTAAGGTTTTGTTTCTTGGAACGATCGAGTCCTCGCAAGCACAGCTCGTTTCTGCAGATTACTCCCCAAACTGTCGTACAAACAGACCCCGATTGCTTGAATTCCTTATGAGCCCACAGGAGGTGCAACATTAAAAGCTACGATTATCGGGTAGCAAGTGCCCCAACCTTCATCCTCCACGGCAGCCTCAGTGACCCTGGCGTTAACGGGT